CCCCCCATGATGGGCCCCTGATCGTTGCCCCCGCTGTTGTGTGTCCATCTCACACCCTTCGGGCGGGCCGCATGTGCCGACACACTTGACACCCCCTGTGCTCTCCTCCCCCTCCTCCTCCTCCTCCTCCTCGACCCCCTTCCCTGACCTCCCTCCTTTTCCCGGGTGCTGCCGTCGCTGCCCCTTTCCTCGACACAGCGCTCATCTGCTTCGCCTTCACCTGCCAAATGAACTTCTTCAGCACCTATGGAGAGATGAAGCTGCCCAACACCCGGCGCATCCACAAGGTCATCAACCGGTGCGTGTCCCCTCCCTCCCGCCCTCTGCCCCGCCGCCGCCGCCGCCGCCGCCGCTCCTTGCGGAAATGCGTCCGAAGAAGGGGCCAGCCCCCCTTCACATCCACTGATGCTGACCCTTTTCCATTGCAGTGCCATGATCGTGGCCATTTCCGTCTACCTGGTGGCCTCGGTTTTCGGGTACCTGCACTTCCGCGCGGACATCCTGAGCAACATCCTGCTCAATTACCCGGCCGACGATATGCTCCTGCTGTTTGGCCGGATCGGTGCGCCACATCGCGCCCCCCTCCCCCCCCCCCTCCCTCCTCCTCCTCTCTCCTGCCCTGTGCGCCTCCCTCGTCGCCTCCTCCCGCTGACTCCGGCCCCCATTTGCTCCCTTGCCCTGCATGTGACCGTGCGCTGGCATGTAGCCATCGCGATCGAAATTCTCCTCGGCGCCCCGATGGCCGTGCACCCCCTGCTGGCCACCCTTGACCGCCTGCTCTTCCCGGACAAGGAATTCTCCTGGACCCGGTATGTTAGCTTGCTTGGGGCATTTGCCCGGCGCTCCCCTCTTCCTCCCTCTGGCCCACGGTCGCCACACATGCTAACTCGTCGAGAATGCCACGCGGCGCCATCCCCCCCCCCCCCCAGTCGTATCATCTCGCTGCTGGTGGTTTTCTCCCTGGCCGTGACCCTGGCCATGACGGTGGCCGACATTGGCTTCCTCTTCGGCTTGACTGGTGCCACTGCCTCCACGTCCATTGCCTTCATCCTGCCGGCCCTTTTCTACATTCGACTGTCCTCGAACCAGCCCCTCTGGAAGGGCAAGCGCCTGGCGGCCCTGGTGCTGGCCGTGGTCGGCGTGGCCCTCTCCATCGCGGCCACCGTGGCAACCATCATGGAGAAGTGACAGCTCGGCCTTCTGCCCACCACCCATTCGCCCGCTCTCAGTGCGGGCCCCCCCTGTTCCCCGGCATTGGCTGGCTGCCTGCCTGCTGCGCTCTGAGCGGGGTCCCCTCCCCCTCCCCCTCCCTCCCCCCTGGCCGCTGCCACCGATACGATGGGGTGCTTCCACGGCGCGGGACGGGAGATCGTCCTTGTGAAATAGACATATCGCCTCTTTGGAGGAGAGCTCAACCCAGAGACACGCACACACGTCCTTGGCCGCCCCCGGTTGCTCTTTCGGGCTCTATGCTGGTGTGTGTGTGTGTGTATGTGTGTGTGTATGTGTACATATGCGTGTATTGTGTGGATAAGCGGCATGGTGCATGGGCGCAACAATGGCCCGCTCCCTGCCGGGAAAGGGAGAGAGAGAGAGAGGGGGGGGAGGGGAGAGGGGGGAACAAGGGCATGCGCCGGGCGCGCGGACTGAAACTAGAGGGAGAAGCAAAGGGGGGAAACATGGAGAAATTGGCGGCCGAATCAGGGGAGAGGACGGCGCGCGTGTCAACACACTCACTCCCCGCGAAGGCCGTTGAGGCGCTGCTGGAGCTGCAGGTGGCAGAAAGGGAAGAAAAGGAGCGTAAGTGACGGGGAGAGCACACAGCAGGGGGAGTGGGGGGGGGGGGGGGGCGACAGGAATGCAAACACATTGACATACCTGACGGTCGAGATCGTCCTCCTTTTGCCCGGGCTGCGGGGTCGTCCCGACGGGCGTGGCGCCGAGCTGTGCGTTGCATACGTCCATGCGAGATCGAGGCGGGAGGGCGGAAATGCAGGGGGCATACACTGCGATTAGCAACGACCCATGGTGGGAGAGGCTGGAGAGGGAGGAGTGGCCGGCCATTCGCTTGTCCCC